ATAAGTGATAAGTATTTCTTAAATCTGAAGCGATTTTTTTAGAAGACGAAAGCTTTTCTGAAAATCCCATTGATCTCTCGGGGTCTAAAGTAAGCTTCTAAATCTTCCGACTTACATTTCTCGGGGCAGTAAAAAGCCATAAGAGCTCTTTGATTTGGACGTCATGTGAGTCACACGAATAGTTTCAATAGCCGAGAATTTGGCATAATGAAACGAAGAGCAGCTGCTTCGGGTCAACGACACGTAAATGGCACACAATTTGTGTGAATAAAGCAACTTGCTATACATGAAACTTTAACGCTCTCGGAGTCTATACCATTCTCCTTGAATATCACGTAGTAAAGATCATGTCACGAGCTCTGTCGGTGACTTAGAATAGATTATGCGAATCTCATTCACTATGAATTTTTTCCTTGAAGAAGTAGGTAACGCCCGCTATTGTTGCAAACGCACCTTTCTCTTTCGATAGAAGCTCACCCTTTCATCAAACCTACCTAATAAGATAAGACGACAACGTCCTGTGATACTCTTGAGCATATTGTGGGTATAAATGTAGGGTTTTACATGTAGTCGGTTACATAAAGCTAGGACTCACGGTTTTGGATCGCGCAGAAAGCTTAAGCGAAAACGAAAACCTAATAATGTTAATTACTGTTGCAGGGTGCGCACGGCATGTTCTTCTCATGTAAAACAGTTCTCACAAGAACAGGCATACCGCCACCTAACTGGTAGACAGAACACAAGTCTAGGTTAGGCACAACAATGGCAAGATTAGGTTCGACTGTACGCACGGTTTTTTAAAGTACTCAATGCGATAAGCCATCCTAGGCTTCGATTGATTTCTGTCAATATTTTCAAGAGCTAGATATGTAACTGGTTTGAAAACGTTTATTTTCATTTTAAACTAATCCTATCTTCTGTTGCTTCGTGAGCAAATTTGTATATCAGTTTATTTAAAAATAAAATCTCCCCGAATGCAATATACATATTATTGCAAAGCCTGGCAAGCTCATTTGTCTGCTGCTACTCGTGCAAAGGCCCGATTTAATTGGTGGTTGACACGAAACTGCAACATCAATAGTGAACTCATAGCCCTTACTTCTGTTTCAGTACTACACGATACTACAGACTACCTAGATATGCTCGTATATTAAGGTGTAAAGCCTCCAAATACTTTAGTCTGCATCTAGCTAAAGTCAGCTACGGGCTAATTATAACATCTGTTTGAATAACTAAAGTCCGATAGATATATACACACATGTTTGCCTAGACAATGTGAAGGTACTCTACAGTATTAGAATTGTTAAATTAAGTGAATTTACTGTGTTAGGTAATTTGTCTTTGTCCATGATAATTGTGCTTTTTTGACAAAATAGAACCAATCTGACTTGAAAGAATATATTTTACTGGTGGAATGGCTTATTATACTAGAAATTATACGATGTACAGCTTTAATGACTAATAAGCATTTACATATGTTCTTAATAAATAGTATGCTATATTCCATGAACTATCTCTGAATCTTCTGAACGGACTCAGCTTTCTATAAACTATTTTTGCTTGCTTTCTTTCTTTCAGTTACCTTCAGTATCGCTGAATATGTCTGAACCGCGTGCATCTGATGTAAAGCTAACACACTGAACAAGTCCAAGAAACGACAATGTACTATCGCGCTTTACAAAAGTGTGAAGAGGATTTTTAGATCTAACATCTTTAAGAGTATATATATACGTTCGCAAAAATTATTAGCAGCTGTTGATACTTAAAAAGTAAGGCATTATTATAATTATCAATAACTGCAACGGCTTCTCAGAGAAACTTCACATTGGTTCCACAATGGTTCCTATTCCAGTGAACTTTTTATGGGTATGCTGTACATAAAAAGCGGAGACTCCGAGGACTTGTTTATAAACGTATAATAATTAGAAGTGGTAAATTACGAAAAAAGAAAAAAGTATATATATATATATATATATATATATATATATATATATATATATATATATATATATAACTTTTTTCCACGCAGGCATATATGCGTACTTGTCGGTGAAGATAATCGAAACGTACAGTATGTATGTGCATTTGATAGACCGTATAATCTGTCGACTACTGATAGCAGTGACAAAGGTGCAAACTTCTTTTTGTAACTTTCAAATTTCTTAGACGAGAGCAAATTTATACTCCGTTAGACGTCGGCGTGGCTGTTATAGCTACGTGGCTGTTACGTGGTCTTTTAGCACAGTTATCAATCCCATTTGGGTAATAATAAAATAATACAAATATCAGTTCAGCTTAGTAAAATATAGCGAACTCTAACAAATACAAATAATATATATATATATAATTACTATGAATATATATAGTCGCGTCCTTTGTTTTTAGCCGGAATGGAGGTTTGTAAAACGTCCGCGCAGACATAATCAGAGGAAATAACATTTAAGGTGCAATATTACATAGAATATTCCCTAAAGCGGGCAAAGTTTGAAAAGTGCAAACAAATGGCTTTAGATACAGCATATGACTTTAACCGCGATGTTTGGAGTAAAGCGTTCCCTCGACGTCAGCAGCATACGTACGAGCATATAAAACTGTTACCATCAATGGTCTGCTATTGTGAATTCATTCAGCCTTGTGGTACTATAATGTTCTCAATGCAACATAGACCGAGATGCTGCAGTTATTGAATGTATTTATAGTATATGCAGACAAACCGTACAGCGTAAATAATTGCCAGCCTTAAGACGGGATACAGTACTTAGAATTGTAAAGCCCAAAATAACTGCTGCTCATTAAAGCAAAGCTGCTTCGTCTGTTTTATATAAACAACCAATTAGCTGTTTGGTAAAGAAAAAAAATTCAATTATATTAACACGTGGTGCTTGGAACTAGATATTTTCGTTTCAGTCGCCAGCTAGTTCCAAAGATAACGGACCTACTAGGTCACTACCCCGCACTAACACATTAGTACGTAATACTCTCTGTCTGGAATGGTAAACATGTCATATCTCCAGGTTTAGTGCTTCTACAAAAGCTTTGATTAGGAACACGGACAGACGAAGAGTTCTATGTTTTAGACTGGCTTTCTAAATTCAAGGCACATGATCCCCGTTCACGTACGACTGCTGCGATTCACCCTATGGCATTTACGCTTACCCTCAGTAGGTTGCGTCGCTTTTTCAAGGCACTGAGGGAGATAGCACGATAGAGATATGATCGTTTAGTACTGATGCAAACGCTTTCCTACATTTCAGTATACGCCTTACTTCGTATCCTAACAAAAAAAAGGTAATGTTACTTACTATGTGTTGTCTAAACAGCATCTAAATTATCGAATAATGGTATGAACTATTAAATGCTAAAAAGGCCTACTGGGCAAAACGTTTTCACAGTGATTATCACCGTTGATATGAGTGACCAGGGCGGACTCCCTCTGAGTTGTGATTGTTGATGTATGTATAATATTTGTACCTAGCAGCAATTGGTAATAGTGTCTACCCGTGGTTCTATAATGTCGTTCCATGACGCCGAGCGAAACAGAAGTAGACCAACAGAACTGACTTTTGGCGAGTGGCAGAAACACTTAATAGTTCTTATATAATCTGCTAAAGTGATTAATCAGTTAGCTTTGCTACTGCGATATAAGTTTGCCTCATAATTATTTGTTACACCGAAATAGCAGCAGGCTATGGCTGCTCGTGTATATACTTTGACGAAGGTGATAAATGGATGTGCTCGAGGTTTAGCAATGCTCTTTGGCGGAAAACGGTATAAGGCACTATGGCGTTTCCAGTTATTATTATTACTTCATTTATTTTTGACGTTTCTGACATTGTAGATGTACATAGATAGTATGTAGGCGATGCGCTATACATCAATAATTTTGTTTCGACGAATCATCCTCGATTTAAAAACGAAGAGAAGCGCAAATTCTCGCATACTAAATTCCGCGGGGCTTGCTGTGGCATACCTAATACGTATTCCGATCACTAAAGCTACCGTACGTAGGCATATCCATTGTCCACCAGCTACACAAGCAGCAGCGGCAGCCGCCTTGGCTGTCTTCCCTAGAGGTCGCGATAAGTTCCTTTGGCTAGGAGTTGTTTAATCCGCCTTGTATTAGCTTGTTGTGGTTTTTGCAATGGCGCTCATTTTCATCGTGCTTCACCTCGTCCCGCGCTCAGTCCTGATTCTCCCTCTCCCCCTTTGTTGGTCCGTACGCCCGTTCATTTTTTGTAAACCGAAGCAGGTCCCCGCTGTCGACCGTAGACTTGCGCTCCCTCTCCACGGTAGAAGACCCTCTCCCATTGCCCCTCTCTTCCTCAGAATTGCACGTTCTCGGAGAAAGCGATGTTTGCGCGCGATACGCACAACGGTATACGGTGCACGGTGTAGTATACCTTTGTAGCTATTGGTCTGGGCCAGCTGTTTTTCTGTACTTGTTGACGTGTGCGCAACATGTGCCTGTCTGTCTTTGTGTGTGTGTGTATGTGACGACAAAGGTAACGATTACGCGGTAACGACGATAACAGCTACATTAGAAGTTTTACAAATGACTTGCGTAAGTAAAGAAACAACATGATGATGTGCCGAAGTGTCCAGGGATAGCAACTAACAGGGTTTATGTCTACTGCTGCACGGCAAAGGAAATCCCAGCTGTCAAGTGCGTTACTCACGTCAGTCAAGCATCACGGATACTCTAAAGATCGGATAGAATATCGGCGATGAAGTTTGCAACTTCTTCTACTGTGATGCTACTAGTTGGTTCAATTCAGTTACTTGATATAACTTAACGAAGATTGTTGATCCTAAACAAATGGATTAGTGATTGGTTTCAGTGAGCAAATTTCGTGAGTTGCTTTGTTGCAATCTGCTATGTGGTGGGATTGCAGGTTTTAGAGTGTGCGTGGTAGCGTTCAAGGTGAATTATGCAACATATTGCTTTCTAACAAATTTTAATTGCTCTGAACGTTATAAAAGAAAAAAAAAAAAAAAAAAACTGTCTAATGCGAGACCTTGCGTTAAGCAAGGCCCCGGAGATATATCCGTCTCGGCCCGTTCGATGATTAACGAACGGCTCCGGGCACGGTGTCTGCTACATGGCAGTGATTTAGCTTGTAGCAGTAGTAACTTAATCAGTGAGCAAGATTTAGCTGTCAGCCGTTATTATCGACGCCGTCGTTGTTGTTGTTGCCGCTGTTGTTTCTTTGTTGTCTTTTCAACACCATCGCATTATTCTCGAAGCTAACGAAAAGTCAGTACTACAGCATGTAACAATGTTTTTACAGTCACCACCACTATTAGCAGCCACCAGAATGGCTCTGATGCCTATCGTGTATCTGTTATCGGTATGGCAGTGGGCGGACCTGCCGGTAGGCGGAGTGTCAATGACGTATCCCTCGACCCAGACACTCCCATTGAATACGCCTACCGCCCTTTCAGGCACTCAGTTGCCGCCACTGTTAATACTGCCAAACACTACCTTATACACAGTATTTGATGAGGTCACAACGTACACGTACGAAGCGGACACGATGATCACATGGCAGGAGGCGGGATTACAGAGTGGTGTACAAAAAAGCAATACGACCCCTCATGGAACTAGCTTCTTTGAAACCGAAGCGTGGAACTCCACCGAAAGTGTCGTCACGGTTGGGCAAAACATGGAGCAGAGTGGCTCGCGAGCATACGGAAGTTCGGACGGTCTCGACTGGGAGATGGTGTCTGCCCCCTCTGAAGATGGTAGCACATTTCAGCAAGTGTTACTTGGCGTCGGGCTGTACACACTTAGTTTGCTTACTTTAGCTGGAAATACAATGGTGCTCCATGCGATCAGGACGGAGCGTCGTCTACAAACGGTAAGTTGTCTATATGATAATAAAACGAGGTATATTAAATATAATATCAACTAAATTGTAAATAAATAACTTTCTTTGTTCATACAGGTTGTGTAGTATGTGTCGTTGGCGGGACTTGAAGCAATGACCCTGGTCTCTTTCTACCAAAGGCTTGGCCGTACAAGCTACCGTATCGACAGCTAGATAATAAATATGCAGCTTCCATATCAACGGTCGGAGATTTCAAACTTTGACAGTATACGAATATTTCGGGTCCGAATAAACGGTACCGTTGTCACTGTAGAAATGGAGCAGCTCTATAATGACAACTCTACTAGATGTTGATTGAATTGGTTCGGTGATGAACAGAACAATGGGACTAACGTGGGCTGGTCTTCCGACAACCTACTATAACAAATCAGTCCTAAATTTCGTGCAAATCACGCTCGTAGGACTATACAGGACGGCTCCATTTCAGCCAGCGATGAACCTGGTGTGTTTCAAATTTGTCAGCACCGAGTGCTTCCGGACACTCATAATAAGCCTTTCCTTGGTGGAATTTGCTCTTGACAATTGTTTTATCACTGCGATGTAGCACGCCGCCATTTTTCTGGGCAACTTTAATTCGCACTTAAGGGAAGCATGACATTTATGTTGCCCTTTTTTTCGCAACAGCGGAGAACAGAGCAAAGGTATTGCTCCGCCAATTTGAGCTATAATTCATCCTTTGTTTAAAATCGTTAAGTAGGTTACCTTATTTGCAGCGTCACATTGTCAAAAACATCATAATACTTTAATTAACAGAGCTAGGCGACTGTTTTTTTTATGTACGATCTATGTAATATGACCTATTTTTCCCATGGAAAATACAGGATTATAAGGATTTATAAGGTATAGTCATCATAAATAAGCTATCCAAAAAAAACTGTAGATTTTAGCAGTCTTAATTACTCATTCTATAGTGAGTCAAGTTGCTAATTGAATTGTCATTTTCTGAAGCTAAAGTTTTTTCTCGACACGTAACAAACAATTTTTTGTAACGTGGGAATATTAACTGGAGCACATCATAACTGGCATAGTGGGCGAATTCACCAGATGCACTCTAAAAATATACATTTTTTGGTACCGTTATTGGATTAGGTTTTATCATATTGTAGGATCACTGCATAAAAATTTGACGGTGCGTAGAGTTCAAGCTTTGATCTACTTCACGCACTAAGGACGTGTATCTCTTGAAAACTATAATAGAGATCTGGACTGCTTACTGCCAGATAATTGATTTACTTCACATAAGCTCGACAGGTGCTGTCAGATACTTCTTTTACTATAAAATTCGATAACCTAGGTAGCACATGCCTACAAGGCAGCTTGGATAAACATATTGAACCCACGTAATAAATATCGAGGGCAGCTCAAATCTATTACGCCAATACGCAGCAGTGTCTTGACTCTACAAGCCAGACAAATTACGAGGTCCAAGGAGGGAGTTAGGCTTTGCAAGGCTGAAATCCGAGCCATCCGGTAATAATTCTTGTGACAGACCGTAGAAGGACGACATGATATAAGCCGTTCTATTACATAAGCCATCAGAACGGCAACCAGCGATATTATACTAGCCCACGGGAATGACGGCATAAAAATGTGCTTCCGCTACCCTTCATAAGGTACTGATATGTGATATCGGATGATGGTGCCATAAAAGTATAGTACATAATGAAGTACCATATCTCTTATTACATTTGGCTGGACTGGAGTTCATGAAAAAGGCTCGTTTCAATTGAGGACAACGTCCCATCAAACGACACTGATTTTACGAGATATAGTTCAAGCACCACCGTAGACAACACGAGTTTTTTTTTATGTTCCCTTTGCGTTTATGCCGCAAACGTATTACCTATCGTCTGTAAACGAGTTGCTGTATCGCTATTGAATTATGAGTTTTTGTTTGCATAAACACAAATCAAGCATGATTGGTGATATTGAGGGACAAGTCCCATCTATTTAATAGCACAAAGACTGGACTGGAGCTTTTATGCAAAACCTAATTCCTCATAAATAATTCGACGGTATACAGTATTTTTTCTGATCAATTAACATAGAGCTAATTTACGAATGTAATGTACGATACCAGCATAAAATAGACCAGTGCGCTCTGCTTGGAAATCTTAAACGATTTGTAAACCGATTTTGCCCCGTGTGGCGTGTATTGTATGTTCTTTCTTGGTTACAATATATATATATATATATAAACATAAATACAAAATAAACAAAAATAGCAATTATTCGTTGAAAACAAGAAATGTTGCCTTGAAAGTTCTTTTTAGTTGAAAATATTAGTGATGGGTTAATTGTTTTACTGGCCTTGTGATTATTCTGTACCCTTCGGTCATCTCGTTGACGTGGTACTTTGACCTTTTTCTATAGACAATTTGCCGTACACATTCAATAAGCACAGGCTTGTTTATAGCAGGAAGAAGGATGCGAGGAGTTTTTCAAATAGTCGGCGGCTTGAACTTCAATTGGGGACACTGTGCGCTTGGTGTAGCACGCCCACGGTGACGTGAAATAACGTAATCAGGATATCTGACCAGGGCAGGTGACGGGAACATTCATCTGTAGACATTCGTGAAGTTCAAAAATATACCGTCTGAGTTGATTGACCACAGGAAGATATAATTTCAGTAGCGTGTCGGGAGTGAATTAGGAGTAGTTATCAATTGTGGACGATAACTACAACGAAAATGCCATGTTCGGAGGCAGCGTTCTGATACTAATAATAATGATATAATTAACGAACCTATTTGTACGACCGATTTATGTCATGGCAAGATAAAGCAAGTATTGTTATCCTCAACGAGATATTACGTAGCTAGCAAGTCACAGTCTTACATATTATCACCATGAATCGATATTATGTTTATCGCCATGGTGAGGCCCGATACTGCTTAGAGTCATTTACGTATGTCATTCTATGTTGGTTTCTCAATAACAAGAGGGCTGACGAGCTTTTTTTATTAGGATAGATAGAGCCACAATTTTTTGTATCGCACTCATTCGTTTATTTTTGATTGAAATTACAAGTTCACTTTGTCAGCTTAACTTCTTCCGTCTTCCCTTGCCTATTATCGAGTCCCTTCAAGCTATTGATAGAATACATTTACAGGATTAGTAGTTCTCGACATAGCACACGTTTGAAGGTTGTGCTTTAACTTGTACTTATAAGGCCAATATGTAAACCCAACTCGATATCGTCTTTACCAGTTACCGGTCTGCACTTTTGAGCAAAATAGGCCATATTTATTTATTGTCTCTCTTCCTGCTCCCGGCTCCACTTACGTTTCAGGACAACTAACGTGACTTGATAGTGGCCAACACTTGAACGGTGCACCTCGCCGCAGGAGGTCCAGTACTTACTGGAAGCGTCATTCGGCAACTGGCATAAGTCAACTCATTGCAAGTGCGATGACAGCCAGAAATGAGTTGATGTACGCTGGAGGGTAAGTCAGTTGCAGTGTGCTTGACTCGACATCGAGTTTCACAGCCTTTGCCCATGTGGGCAAACAATATGCTGACAAAGCCTACGGTGGGCTCTAACGTCATTGCTATTGAATATCCTAGGGACAATGCACAACTGCCGGGGCTTACCCATGAGGTTTAAACTGTCCAGCTATCGAAGCCAGAAACCTTACCGGCACCTATTTGTCTTCGTCATCGTCAGGAGTTTACAGGACCGTTTTTATTTTAGTGTAGATTTATACAAAGAACCGGGCATACGGGTAAAACATTAGCGATACAAGTTGGACTATGGTCTCTGCTTTTTGAAACAAATTCATCCCTTACGAAGCTTTACCAACGGAGGCTAGATATCGCTCGTTAATGATTAATGTTAATTCGCGCTGGCTTATGGTGATGATGGTGAGGCTCCGACGTCAGAATCGGACACGATATTCTGCTGGCTGGTCATAGGCATCAATTGGTTTCGTCCGAATTCTGACGTGTAACTCCTTCATACATTTCTCGCTAGATGATGCGTTTCACTGCTTATAAGACACTCACGAGAAGGCGTCGTCTCAGCTCGAATGTCTCAATGACAGATGGTTCCAAGGGCTGTCGGCAGGAACAAAAAAGGTGTATGTATGGCTAGCACGACACCGGGGATTCGTGCCGGCAAACCGGTCTGATCCACGCTTCCGTTGATGCTTTAGCTAAAAGGCACCGTTGCCGAGCACACAATAGATTCCAACAAAACAAATGGTTTAAAGCATGAAACATGCAGTATTTACAGACAGGCGAGACAATACCCTGTAACAAGACTAAATGAAATCAATTCTAACTGAATATGATCGAGGCTGGTTAGGTTCTATTCGTATTCGCTTATTCTGGTTTCGTTAAGTTACAATATTGTACCATTTATCGATTTAGCATAGCAGGTTTAACTTGGACGTAGGAAATTTAGGTTACAAATGACAGACTGTAGAAGGAATGGCTGTATAATTAGACTCACTAGTGCAAAGCATGCTATGTCACATATGTATTCGAGCGTTGTTCTAGGGCGGACTACTTACACCTACTAGATATCAACTGCTGATTAGCAAAGCTTTTGCCTGCTAGGCCTGTGACCTGTCCTAATGTCGGCTATAGTTGTCACATATTTACTGCAATATTTGCCAGAATAGTATGCTAAGTAGCAAATGCTATGGATGAGAGCTATTCTTTCTTTGCATAATATCCGAGACATGTTTCGAAGTCGTCAACAATCACACTCGATAACCTCACTCAATAATAATAATAATAGACAGAAATAGTTAATTACTATACGTTGTTTAGAAACTGCATATAAGTACGGCCGTATCTCAATAGCATAGTATTTATCCGAGTCGTAACGCTGACAATCCAGAATACAGGCCACATCTTCCAACATTGTTCTTGCTCTTTCGATACTCGTTGCGAGATATACTTAACGTAACTTGCCGATTACGTACGATACGCTTAACGACCCGCTGCAGCTCTCCATGCAAAACACAACTTAAGCCCCCGAGCTAGCTATCGAGTTTTACGGCTAAATCAAATAGACGGCTGTCCGGCAACGCCCGGCTCGCGAGCCTGCCGCGCGCTGTCGTATCGTTGCTACCAGTTATTTTAAAAATATAGAGTTAGCCTAGTATATCGTCTGCGACCTCCCTTTGACATACGTATTGGCAAATAGCAATCAACTACAATCATCAGCTACCGGATCACTTTGCTTCTTGATCTGCTATTAAATTATTGGCAATTAATTGATTGCTTTATTAAACTGCCATCTAGATCCACGTAGGTTACAATATACAAACTGTGTTGTATATAGTGACCCTGAAAGCATATCATATGTCTATGTAAACACCGGGCGTCTGCTATAGCAAGATTAATATATGTTAGAGCTGCTAATAATGGTGTTATACGATAACGTTGTTTCGTGGTAAGGGACTGCGACAGAAGGCTGGAACGATGCTGAAATACTGTTTGCTGCTAGAAAATGACGATGCATTTTAGGTCTACGTATTTGCTTCTCGTCTTCCTCCGACCTCTTCAGGTTCGTAATTGCGCTATGGAGTCCAAGTAAAACTCTGTCTTCTCACAAAGATCACGGCGACCTAGAACGAAAGTGCAAACATTACTTCCAATACTCAGTTGAAAATGTCATTGGTACAATATATATAGCAATGTTGCGTAGACCCTACAAGTTAATTTCATTACTGCAGCGGCGGCGGCGGTCGTACGCTTGATGACGACCCTCCGGTGCGCGATAAATCGAAAGGAAGTCACAAAATGTACGTAATCATACTTCTTCTACCGATTTTCACTGTTTCTGTAGTTATTGTTAGAAGGAAACCTGCGAGCACGATTCTTTGATGTTCGTTCGTTTTCCCAGCGATTGTTTAGAGTTGTTCTCCACTATAATTAAAATCGAATTGTACACTTAGTAACCAGTCAGTAACTTGTCATCGCATGCGTGCGTATTCAGTTAGTCCTATAGGCACACTAGGTAAACCTTCCGATCATTTAATTCCTGACCAGATATCATTTCATAAAACTGAATGATTTAAGGCTGTACGCCATTTTCTCGCTCCCGAACATTTCAAGCTATCAGTTTGAGGATTTTGGGCCCAAAATAGGCATTTATTGACAAGGCATATTTTACGATTTTCTTGATACGATGGATTCTACGATTCCTAACTAGCCTCATCAAATCCAATCGAAAAATTGAGAGCTGCGGGAATTTCGGAAAATACACTTTTCTGCAAGTTATGGGCCAGATTTGAGCCGTTCAACGTAAAACGAAAGATTATGACGGGTCTTATTCAGCCAGTTTGAACTGAATCTAAAATCAGTATTTCAAAACTATCCTCTTCTTATTCATTTTGAACAAACTGTACATAATTTAGGAGTAGGATTATCTAGTGCCGGCAGTAGCAGGTACTCAATTTATTGTTAAACAAGTAAGGATGGCAAAGGTTAGCCCTATACCAAAAGATTACGTAAGCGGCCTTAAAATAACATTGCATCATTCTGTATTGATCGTTTTGATATCGATATTTACAAATTCGGCGATCCCAATGAACTGTGCTTCGCAACGGTTAAAGCGCGAGCAGAACAACTTTTGGATCTTCGAACGCTTTTCTTTCCACCCTTCGATCGGCCCTAAAAGACAAAATTATTTTCAATATGAATAGATAATATAATCATTTAAATCGATAAAGCATCTTTTAGTAAATATAAGCTTATGTACCGCTAAAAAAAGACGCAAAAGTGTATATACAGTATGTCCTAAAACACGAATACACTGTTTGAATTATTATATACATACAATTAACTAATATTTAAATTGTTGACAAATCTATACAAAATGAATGACTTTTTTTCTAATCGCCAAGATTCGAATTTACAGATTTAACAAATTTCAGTGCGTCCGGTAAGCTTGCGTGACATGTTTCTACAGTTGCTCAGTGTTCGGAATCATGATATTAATTGTCCTATTTATTTGTAGCTCTAAAAAATCGTCCCAAAAAGTGCATCCACGTTTTTCCATTCGCGAAATTTTTTTCGTTCATTTTCACTGTGTGTTCCACCGTTAAGACGTACCTACGTTTCAACTTACAATACGGTGGACACTTGACTTGCTAGTAATTTGGCTTGTGACAGATTGTCAGGCTGTTTCTCTGTTTTTCTAGTATTTTTTGGCTGATAGTCTTCCACCTGTGAGCATACTAAAGTATTTCATCCGTTCCAAAAACATTTTTTATCCGATTGGTTGTAAGTTGCATATGTAAGCTTGTTTAAAATTTCTAGCGACATTGTCTTTGCACTTTTCTAAACATTTTCGTGCTTTCAATAACAAAAGCTAACCTTGATTTATTCATTACATTGAATGACTTACACCTGAAAAAAAAATTAGACAGACAATTCTGACCCGTTTAACGATGTACTTTTTTTTTTTTGACAGCCTATACATAATCATTGATGCTTATTGAATGCAAAAGTAAGCGCGTAACCCTAAAAAAAACACTACGACGATTTAAACAGCATCTTATCTTAAAATGAAATATTGCTGTTTAAGACAAGCGTCAGTATTCTTTGAACGGTTACAGCAGGATTTAGCTGGTTGTAGATTAACTTCTAGTAGTAAAAAGCGTTTACTTAAAAAATGCCAATCCAAGCTTGTATTCGTTGGCGGGTTAAAAAAACTTTATAGGCCGTATTAGCTTAAAGTGAAACATGGACTTGAGGCAGTCTTTGTAGGAGCTATACGCAGATTATATCGGTGAACAATGTCTTTAGAGATGTCCGTTTGTCATAAATTTCAACCTATTTTCGCAGGAACTGTGATGTCTACAGAACTTTGCAATGAATCCATACGGCTCGGGTCGGCATTACGGGTAGATTCTACGGCGTCAGCTACATTGCAGTTTACTTCGTTATAATACCTAAGGAGATTTCTTAACTTTTCGAACCACAAGTTCTATTACATGATAAGTATTATGTTGCTAAGGAAAATTATTGCGTGTACATTCTAAAACAGAATAAACGATGTAGTTTCATATGGTTAAGTGCATTTTATGATTACGTGTGCCACTGTTTTTGACCTTGTGTGCTAGATAGATGTTTACCGTCTTTTGCATCTGTTCTTTAAGGTCAGTTTACGTACTACCTCTATCCAAAATCTGTTTCTAAGCTAGGCTTAGGTGTTGGTCAGTGCGACAAAAAAACCTTTGATCATAACCTAACGGCATAAAGATTGGTTTATCGCAGAAGTGAGAACTTCTATACTGCCTAACGCGTTTAGGATAATTAGATTGATGGAAAATTTCTATGCTAATTAATCGAAGAGAAGCTTTGAATGGTACGGCTGGCTTAATCTCATCAAATATAGCTTTTTGATATTCGAGTTGGATTACATTTTCAAGGGCTGGCAGCAGAGATCGGTTTCAAAGTGGTAAGGAAAAGAGTAATTTTTAATTGTGGAAAGTTATTATCTTATGAGGCGATTTGGGTTGATATAGTAGCATTGTTTTAGCTTCAATGACCAAAGTGCTCGGCTGCTTTGCTTCCTTGGATAGAGATTTCGTGGATCTGATGGATTTGTGGAGAAGGTATGACTAACTCATTACCGTGTATACTTTGTCGCACATCGATTATATATGCTCGTTGATCGTTAGCTCACATACAAATGTTGCTTTTTGTGGAATTAACATATTAATTCTATAAGGTAACAGTTTTTGGCAAGCGTATAACGGTTAGCTTTAGTACAATGGATAGCTTGCTGATTCTTCATGCATGAAGTGGACCTCTTTAATCGAGTACTGCTTCTAAAAACACGTACCAAAAGGGATTGTTTACATGTTACAATATGCGCTTGCTTCAGCACGACGTACTTCTTTGTAATACCATGTGTTCAATGTATTCAAGTTAAAATCATTTCTATTTTTGCTCCCACACTCTCACCATCAATCCCAGGGTTCCTGTGGGTGCCTCGTATATCGGCTTCTCCCCCGCAACACCTGGCTTTATCGCCGCCTGTGACACTGACGCAATTCATATGCAAACTGGGAAGCCAACTATCGACAAAGCCAATCAGTTCACCCCTCGCTTTCTGCCTGCTGACAGAAACGCTAGTTCTACCGTTTGATATACGTAAACGCGTCCTTTTGGCGGTAAAGTGCTTGGCCGTGATTTACATGTGCTACAGATATAGCTATTGTTATTGTGTGCGTATAGCTCCATGCGGATATTGCCTTTTCCAAAGTTAACTCAACATCGTCCTCTGTCGCGCCGAGTTTTTTTCACTGGAGTTTTGAGTATATGCTGTTCACATTGCAAATCGCCAGGGTGTACAAGCTGTGGTACGAGTAGTAAGTATGGGTTAATTTAGCACGCACGTCTGAAGTTTCAACTTCATCGATCATTTTACGACTTTGTAGTATAATTTTTCTAGGTCCAGTCACATTTAATAGCCCTGCTAATAAAATTATTATCAACTGCGTACAAGTTTGTTCATGTGATAATATGATCCAATAGCAATGGCATCATAAGCCCGTGGCGTTCATAAGCGTTGCGATCTGCGAAAAATATCTTGGTAACGAAGCCGAAGATCTAAAAAAAGGAGTCTGTGGGTTAGGAACGTGGTCTAAATGGATAAGACGATAAGATATGTTGGACGAATAGTCGCCTCTCTACGAACACACGTTGCGAATACTTTTAATCTGGTTTTGCAACTAGAGATACAGAAGAAACTCTCTGGATTGGAATAATATAGCGATAGAGATCGATTGGTCCGGTGAAATAGAAAAAATGTTCTGGCAACCCTGATTTATTAAAAGATACCCGATAAAAGAATAGCGCTTCTCGGTCTGCGATCCGAGAAATATGCTGTCTTTTAACGAACTTGACTGACTTAAAACGAAAGCAAATGATAACTAATACGAAGTCTATTCTGCGAATACTATTAGTCGTATTCAATCACTCGTGCAGTGTAGAACTTGTGATGATGAAGACTTTTTCAACAATGGCAAATCGGTGTTATCCGGCACTTAATGTCTGCTTCTTAACAAAAAAATTCGAGATTTTTTTTGCTTGTCTCTAAAGAAAATGCTATATTTTCTTGGTCATACTCTTCAACAATTCCATTAGGACACTATCTGAAACGAAGCTAAGTCTAGTTCTAGTTCAGAGACCCTATCAGGATAGAATGATGTGCCTCATAATTTTCAAAGGAGCAGTGGTTGAGCACCGTATTTAATTTATATTAATGTCACGAAACACCGACTCGACAGCCGTATAGCAAGGTTAAAGGTTTAAACGAAATAAGTCGGATCTTCTTTGTGTCGGATTTCTTGTACATAATCGTAGACTATAAACATAAAGCTTGTAATGACTGGCCTGACCGGACCATTCTATTGCGTTTAATATCGTCCTTACCAGCCAGTCAAATAGCATTCTGCGCGTATATAACTCGATTTCTCTTATCGGTCGCGTCATATATAACGGCGAATTGGACAGTACGACACATTTGGGTGCTGTTTCTCGTCGTCGTGCTAACTCACCCAACCCATACATGTCATTTTCACTTAAATCTTCCTTCTATAGAAACTTCTGCTAAGTTTCCATTAATAGTGGTAGCATTAGCTAACTCCCTGCGGATCATAGCTACTAGTTTTGTGCTATGGACGTTGTATTTGCCTAAACTAGCCTACCCCACGTTTCCGTGGCTTTCGCCGATCGTACCCAACGTTCAATGGATCGCTTCCTTCCAACGACGTCTGTTTTTCTGCATGGCGGTATTATCGTACTATTACGCTTTACATTCATTCGTTTTTCAACTCAGACCTCGTTGCCATCGACCCAATCAGATGGCATAGATACGAGCGGCGCAAAAGATTCACAAAGATATAGATCCGAAGGTGTGATACTTGTGCTGTCATTATGGGAAGAAGCTGCTTTACTGGTCGCCGCCGTGGCCGTACATGGGCTTCCGTCGCCTTATAACCGTTGCGAAGCCTACAAATTCAGAAACGGCCAAGACACTAGAAAAATAAAAATAAAAAAACTATAATTTGCACAGTACAGTGCATAATAGAGCGTCAGATATTGTGCTGTCCTTCTAACTGTTATGGGAAAACCGGCCAAACAAAATTGCTATTTAAATCTGAATATAACTAAATTATGTCTTTACATTCTACTTCAATACGACGTCTGTTATAAATATAGCACTTCATGGGCTCTATTATAAGAGGTACTAATTTTTCAAAAAGAATGGAGAACATATTTTGAAGAATTTTTAGCTATATATCGACGATATAATCTTTGCAAAATCTAATGCACCGCATTAATCTATTCAAATAATGCATTTATACCGCTACCGTCGCTTTGTTATCGTCGAAAATTATTTCCCAATTTTTGTACTTATGTGTAAGTGACAATATGACCCCTTAGCTAGACTATGGAGAACATAAAGGATGGCCCATAGTTTAAAAAGCCAACGATGTGAGTTTGATCATACGAGTTTGGCGTTGGCGCTCTGCCGTGGTAGTACACGATTTCTCTGCGTTTCGAGCTTTACGTTCGGTACGGCGGTTAAACGTTCTGTCAGGCGGTTAGCTTCGAGTACGAAACGCGACACATCTCGTACACCATGTCTAGTATTCGTGTTTTCCGTGAAAACTGATTTAACTATGCAGATGCTATATAAGATTTTTTGAAGTTCCGAATAAGAAGACTAGTGTGTCTTTCTAAACACAGTGATTATTAGGAAGGTTGATAACAGTTTTTGCGGTTAGTCTATTGCCAAAACGCTGCTCTACGCTTGGAAGTCTTCTAATAAACCTAAGCCTAGTTAGCGCTCATGTGCGATAAATTTTTTCGTAACACGATGAAGTTTTATACGGGTTACCTTGAATCAAATGCAAGGAAATGCAGCGCCAACATTTAGAGCAGCTGGCAAGGTGAAAATCTTGTCCTAGTTTAATTTTCATAGCCTGCGCTATTTGACGAATTTAGGTGCGGTACTTAAATTGTTTGGGATTACATCAGACAGTTTGCTTCCAGTACGAAGAGAAGCGTGTCTACGCCCAGATTCGAACAAGTTTAGCACGTAATCGCGTCAACCACTACGTTAGTCACTACGTGATAGCATTTTAGGCTAAACGTTTGTTGCCTGTGAATTCTGAAGTCTGTGAATGCTATCAGGCACTGTATCATGCGCGAATAGCTCATATTCTTTACTCGTGAGTTCGTTCAAACAATTTCGAGAAAGCAAATTATTTATGAAGTTGAGTAAGATTTTTTCTAGGTAAAACAATAAACTACGACGTGGAAAACATTTTGATTTTTGCATTGTTTTACCCCGTTAATTTTACTAATTATGGCCGGCCAAAAAAGCGTTGTCGGTTTCTAAGCCGAAATCGAAATAATTATTTTCTATATTTCAAAATAGTACTAGTGACCTAATTATGCGTCGTTCGGATCGATGACTTTCTTTTTTCAGTTTTCTGGTAACATAATAATTCTGTCACTGTAGAATTTCTGTGGTGCCTGGGTGAAAGGTCTTCACAAGTGATCTTCACATTTCTCTATTGGAGCTGCACTACATGAAGGAAACCGGTGCCTAATAGTGGAAGATCCGGGCTGTAGGGTGGATGTATGTGGTCTGCCAAGGCGGGAGACGATGTTCCTGTTGTTGACTATTTTCGGTCGATTGTTTCAATGGATTGTAGTAATCTTGTTAGCCATTGGCAAGAGAAATCCGAATCAATCGTTTTGCTAAGCGGCAATAATCGCGCGAAATATATATCATCACCTGCTTTGCCGTCCCGGGATTTATTTCTTGCTTTGGTCATGATGTTCTTTGTACTTTATTACCTATGATCAACCGCTTTAGAAGGGATTCGATACGTTTCTGTAGAGCTTCGCAGAGAGAACTACAAGTTGTTCTACGACAGTTTGCATGGCACTTCTTTCTCAGCTGGGTCCTTTCTAATGGCTTAAAACTGTTTGTTAATGGATGACTAGTTACTCGTCGATGTAATAACTACTTAACATGTCAATCTTGTTG